GTTTCTACAGTACCTCAATGTTTGCCCAATCGATTTGTTAGTCTGACTATTCTGTCCCACTTTTCAACTTCAGCTTCTGTAATTCAAAAATGAGCGAATAATGAAGACTGAAAAGATTTGAAAAAGAATAATAGTATACATGAAACAACAGATTTAAAAGTATTCCAAATTTTTATATTTACTATTTTGTTGTTTTCTTGACGGTGTTTTTTTTTCTTCTTGTTTTATCAGAAGCATTGTAGTGTATTCGTCGTATTCACGGTGGACTCGGAATCAGTGCTCGAGAATGCTGCAGCAACGATACATCGTTGTGCCTACAGGTTCGACGGAATCTGCATTTCACGTTGATGATTATCAACACATTTTGCGTTGTTGTCTGTATCTGCCTGATACCATTTGCCGTATGGATGAGACTTAAACCGAAGGAACTTCGAAGTTGGGCACTTGTAGAGGTGATACTTCTTGGAGCCGCCATATTGTACAGCGTGGTAGGCACTTCTATTTTTTTTTTCGGCTTTTGAACTTTGGTTTTTGTAAAGGTTATTGTCTAGTTAAAGTCTTTGATTTTTTCCCCTTTTTCAATTCTTCGCTCTCTACCCTCCTTCTCCCTCTCAGGTTTATAAATTATATATCTTTAGTTTGATGAGAGAAGAACGGTGATAACAAATTTTTCTAATAGCTCTGAATTGCTTTCAACAATTTTTTAATAGTTTTAATGAGTGTGGGTTAAGAAATATTTTTTAAAATAATGTCAAAATTTAGATTTATTATGACTTTCTGTTCGCATTCTTTTGGTTTTTGTTAGAAAGTACTTAAGGATAACAAGTAGAGAAAAAAAAAGCAAGAAAAAAGAGGGACGAGAGGACAAAAGCAAAACAACAACAGCGGCAACAAAAAAGTTCAAATTTGGTCATTGTGGGAGCAACTTTTTTTTTTTTAGTTGTTTATGATGTGTCAGTGAAAAAGCAAGAAAAATTAGCAGGATTTGTCGTTTTGTTGTATATTTTTCAGTTTTACGTCAGTTTATCATAACCTTTTTTTCAAGCATAACATTTCTTATTTCTATTTCTTCTTCTTCTTCTGTTTTATTTTGCTTAGATTTATTTGTTTTGAGATGAAGAAGTGATTTTTTTTTTTCAAAAAGAAAAAAAAAACAGTTTTTGCTGCTGCTCCTGCTCCTACGGCTACTGCTGAAACTAAAGATTTTTTACTTTTTAACTAAGCTTAAAAGGATAAACATCGGATTAAATGGGGGCCGATTTTAAACACTAAAACCAGAAAGCTGAACTAAAACAAAGAAAAAAAAAGTGAAAGGAAAGAAGAAACAAATAAATTCTTATTTTTTTTCGATGTCTTTGTTTTTTTTTCTACCTTAGAAGTTTTCTTCATGTTTTGTTTCAATTTTTTTTTCTCATCAACTGATCTCGGGAGTTTTTTTTTTTACTGTGGAATTGTTACACAGACACATCTGTGCACAACTGATATTTGGAATGCACCAAAAATAAATAAATAAAAAAAATACATATATATATATATATATATATATATATATATA